GCACGGTCCTGCGTGGTGCTGTTGCATGGTCCTGTAAGCAGCATGATGCTGTTAGCGGCATCGTCCTGCTAGTAGTGTGGTTCTGTTAGCAGCACGGTCCTGCTAGCAGCATGGTGCTGTTAACATCATAGTTCTGTATGGTGCTGTTAGTAGTAGCATGGTTCTGTTAGCAGCATGGTCCTGATAGCAGCATAGTCCTGCATGGTGCTTTTAGTAGCATAGTTCTGTTAGCAGTGTGGTGCTGTTAGCAGCATGATGCCGCTAGCAGCATGATCCTGTTAGCAGCGTGGTGCTGTTAGCAGCATGATCCTGTTAGCAGCATGATCCTGTTAGCAGCGTGATGCTGTTATCTAATATCACAAACGTGGCACTTTAACCCCAAGTGAAACTGAAGTCTTACATCAATGAGAGTGCTGACGTCCTGCAGGTAATATTTGTTCATGGCTGCATTCGATGCTGCTAGATTGAGTAGGTAGTCGTTACGAGCCTTGGTGCACTTCAGCTGGGTCTCCTGGAACCTCCCGTGCCTCTGCAGTTACATAAACATATTATTTTTAAGTACATAAAGAAACTCCCGTTACCAAACAAGCACTTCCTAACTCTGCACAAATTTTCATTAATGTATGTTTAGGCAGTGAAACATTTAAATAAAAATAAAAAGGAAGTGGTTTTTAAACACCGAAACCTGACTTCCTGTGGCTTGTTGTGTCTTTCCTACACACTCACACACACACACACTCACACACACACCTTCTCCATCAGTCGCTCCATCTTTTTGACAGAGCTTCGTCTCTGACCCCCCAGTTGACCCGGGACAAGGTCGGCTGACTTGCCGGTGTGTCTCTCCTCGAGCCGCTCGGCTTCTTTCAGTTTCCCTTCAGCTATCAGACAGTCTGTGTGGTACTGGTTATACGTCTTCAGAGCCTTTAATGATAAAAAGAACGACAACAAAACTCACATCAGTGAAATCAAATGCGAGCTCACTGATGTGTGAACGCCGAGTCAGCAGCCAAACTACTGTCTTCCTGTTTAGAGTGGAAAATACTTCTGCAGACTTTGTGCTGTTTTAATCATTCATGCATCATAACGTTCCTCCATTCTGTCTTCTTCAGCTCCTTTTATCTTTTAAGCTACTGTTCTGTTAATTTTAAGGTTTACCTAGGCTTTGCTCATTGTAGCTTTTAGTTACTGCTATGCTAACTTTAGTTTGTAGTTGCTGTTTTGTTATTATGAGCTATTAGTGACGCTTTTGCTACATTTAGCTTTCAGCTACTGTTTAGCTCATTTGAACTTTTAGTTTCCGTTTTGCAAATTTTAACTTTTAGTTATGAACTTTCTAGTTTAAGCTTTTATCTATTGTTATTCTTTAGCAATCGTCTTGCTGATTTTAACTTTTATCTGCAGTGTTGCTCATTTAATTTTTAGCTATGGTTTCGCTATATTTAACTTAGCTACTGTTTTGGTTATTTTACATTTTAGCTACTGTTTTGTGACTTTTAGATTTAACTACAGTTTGCCTATTTTTACTTTTAGCTGATTTTAGCTTTGCGCTAATGCGTATACTTCAGCTTTGTTCTGTTTGTTGTAACCTTAGCAGTTAAGCTGATGGCTCATTCGTCAACAGATTTCCGTGAAGTCATTCAGAAATCTGAGTTTATTCTGCGTTTTTGTTTGCCTTTGGTTCCATTCAGGCGACAATCGCAGGAACTCACCGTCTGCAGCTCCGTCGTGACCTTCAGCAGCTCGTCTTGCATCTGGACTCCAACATCTTTGCTCTGCAGGGACAGAAACCAGAACGTGAACAAAGTGCAAACTTACAAATTGGACTAAACGTGGTTATTTAGAAGCGGGGTGACCCGGCTTCCACAGAAATGGAAAGAATGTCCTAAATGTTCTTGTGCTGCAGTTTTTTAAAGCTACAACACAGAACAGAGGCTTGTCCATGGTTTAATGCAGGGCTATTCAACTAAAGTGCTCAGGGGGCCACAGTTACTGTATTTTCGGCCGTACACGTCGCTCCGCCCTATAAGTTACATCTATTATGCATCACCATTGACAACCTGGAAATGTGGGCCGGTGTTGTGCCAAAAATCGAATGGTGGCCACAGGAGCATGCACAGGAGGACTTTAACAAGAATTTAACATGATAACCACCTAAAAACAATTATTTGTTTGTTTGACTTTATAGTAAAAAGTGTGTCTCAGTTGAACTTTTACTTAATAAATGCACTGCAATGGTCAAATCAGCTGCATTTCACCGGGGCGGCGCAGCAAATGAAGCTGATTTGACGGTTGCTCCAAGTGAGCTGGACGATGGTGGCAGACTATGGCAAACCGATTATGTCATTAATAGCCACTTTTACCTATTAAATGATACAACGGCATGCCATACAACTCAAGTGCCATCTAGCAGCTGAAAATGGTAGTGGTAGTATTTTCAGTCAGAATGAATGAAAATACCATACCATACCATTTTATTTATAGAGCACTTAAAACAGCGACAAGGCCAAACAAAGTGCTGTACAGACAGAACAACAGGTAACACACAAAGCAAAATACAAAATGAAGTAAATCAGAATATAGACGTAAAAACGATGCAGATAATGACGACTAACCAGTGTGGAGCGTACAGGATCAAAACACAGATCCTCTGGTGTTGAAAGCTGCTGAATAGTAGTGAGTTTTTAAACAGGACTTGAAAACCGAGAGGGAGGGGGCCAGTCTGACAAGCAGAGGTAACTCATTCCAAAGTCTTGGTCCTGCTACAGAGAAGGCCCCGTCACCTCTGCGCTTAAGGTCATATCTCAGCCAAAAATTGGTTTATAAATATGGGAAAAAATCCTTAAATAAGTCACTTCCGCATATAAGTCGCAGGGTATGCAAATTATGCAAAAAATCACAACTTATAAGGCAAAAAATACGGTACTGCAAGCAAAAAGCCCAGGGGCCGAACATCCAGCAGTTATTCTCATTACGTACATTTTTTTTATGATTTAAAATCTAGTTTTATTTAAGAATGGACCCACTGATGGGCTGAACTGAGCACGCCCATGGGCCTGAGTTGGCCCCCGGGCCACCAGTTGAATAGCCCTGGTTTAATGAATATAGAACAGTGGAAAGCAAAATAAATGGTCATAAAAACTGTTTTGTGTCAAATTGTGCACACACAAGTCAAGTTCTCTTTAATCGCTTCCATTAGATAAACTTTCATCATTTTTTTTATATTGAGGTAAATGCAGTGGTGCAGAGGTTAGAGAAGGTGGGCCTGTGGTTGGAAGGTCGCCGGTTCAACTCCCCGGACTGACAACGTCAAAATGTGGAAGGAATGGTGAAACAACCACGCCTGCCTCCACCCTCATTTGCCCCACTCTGGACCCTTGAGCAAGGCCCTTAACCCCCACCATCTGCTCCCTGGGCGCCCTAGCTGGCTCCACACAGAGGGCTGTGGTAGCTCGGTGGTCTGTGGTCGCATCAGGAAGGACATCCGGAGTCAAAACAATCGCCAAGTCTTTGTGCAAGTTAGTTCACTGTGGCGACCCCTGAAGAAGGGAGCAGCCGAAAGAAAAATGAAATAAAATTTTAAAAAATGAGAAAATACAGTTTAAACTCGTGCATTCTTGTCGTAAAATGACAAATACTCTAAGTAAGCCGCTGCTGCTGAAATAACTGTTGAGCTCACTGAAGTATTAATTATGAAACTTTTAAAAAGTCAAAGATTTAACAAAAAGTGCTCATGGTAAAAAAATAAAAATAAAAATACTACTGCATTCAAAGCTGTAGTGCATTTATGTTTTTAGCAACTATGTCAGTTTTTTTAAACTTCCTTCTTAGGATTAAAAAAAGTCCCGTTTATAGGCGTGTTAGGAATCCAACAACCCTAAAAAAAAAGACTTAATATTTTGTTAAAGCCTGCTTGTGATAAACTTTGCTCCTTCATATCTTTAATGCAGATCATCACCGTTTGGTTCGTTTACATCCCAGTTTTTGCAGATAACGGGTGCTTAATGGATAAAGTGTGTTGCTGGTTGTCGTGCAAAGAGGCGCAGGATGTGTTCATTAGTTAAATCTGCTCAGAGCTGATGCGCTGGTCGTAGCTGACCACCCACGCAGACAGGAGGTATAGCTTGGAACGACTATTTATGAAAAAAGCATGAAAGTATAGGTTTGGGTTTCCCCATGGGTAAAACATAAATCAACTATTTATTTAACACTGTTTTTGTGCAGCAGCTCGTGTCAGCAAAGTGACTCTACCTGCAAAGAAATGTATTTAAAAAGAAAACCACAGGTTTATTCTTAAACAATATGTTATATTTCAAACAAGTCGATACTTTTGTGTAAAAAATTATAAATGAATGCCTGAGAAACAAAATGTCCCTGTTTAGACTGGGCAAACTGACAATTTGTCAGTTTTGCCGAACTATGCTCCAGTTATGGGTTATACTTTTTAAATAAATAACAACAACATATGTTTAACACCAGAGGCGGGTTCAGACATTTGGGGGCCCAAGGCAAAACAAACGGAGCGCCCCAACTCTTCCACATTGTCATTATTTGGGATTATACATTTGAAAATGACATATTTAGCTGCACAAATGTAAAAGTTAATGCTGTAGTTTTGTTTTTTTAGGAATGCTCAAGACTGCAGTGTTACACTGAAGCTCGCTGCAGAACTGAAACCAGGATTTAAGACAGAAATCTGTTTCAGTTCACTTGCAAAGTGAAAGTCTGACACAAATATGTAATACAGTCTAACAGTAAATGCAGTCACACTGTGTAGGTCTGACACCTACACAAGTCCCAGCTTCTGTTTTTAGCAGACACGACGACGGTTTTCTCAAAGTGCCCAAATTAGCTTTAATAGTGTGACTGTTCGTGAAGCATTCACACTGTTGTGATCCTTTTTTGTTCCGTACATTTTGCAGCATCGTTCTCGTTCCATAATTTTTGTGCCATTTCAACAAATCATAAATCAAAACGTTCAGCTCTTTCAGGACGATCCTGCTGTGACTTTTGGTATTGGTGCAGCTTTAGCTTTTTGAAATATTTAGCCCTTTCTGCCATTTTTTACTCGTAGAAAATGAATTGAGCTCATCTTCACATCTTTAGATCTGTTTACAGCTCCTTTCACATTTTCTTCTGATTCTTTCAGCTTCTTTGTGCAAATTTAGCTTTTCAGCTGTTTTTTCATCTGCATTGTGATCCTTTTAGATCATTTCTGCTAGAGTTGTCATTTCCAACCCAGGACCAAAGCCCGGCCTGAATTTGGGGCAGGTTGGGCCATAATAATGTGCTGGATGGGCGGGCCAGGTCGGTGTTGAGCTGTTGATTGTGTCAGCGGATCAGCCGTGATCCAATGATATGGTAACATGGCTTGCCATACCTTCACCAGCCGCTCGCGGCCATTTGACCGCGAGCTGACCGGCCTTGAAAGAGGTAAAATAAAGTTCCGTTAAGCTTCAGACGGGACTACCGGTACTGCCAGGAAGCGATCCATCGCCCAAGTGGACGTTCAGCCGCTGCACTCAGCGGACGTGCGCGGCCGACGACCCAAACAGGTGAGCCCCCAAAGCAGACATGTCAGAGCAGGGTCCGTGTCTGAATAATGCAGAATGCAGGCAGAAGCAGGGGTTTAATGCACTTTGACAACCATGAAATGACAAACACCCCCTCAGCTCCGATCTCCTGCCCCCTTAGCTGCGCGTGTCAGCCGACCATTAATAAGCAGTCAAAGTTTAATTAAAAATGTCGGGTGGGGTTATGGACCTGTAATTACTGTTAATTCATCGGGCCGGGTGGGGTTCGTAAATGATGGCTACGGGTTGGGGCTGGGTCGGATATTTTGGGCCCGAATGCAACTCTAATTTCTGCTAACTGCAACATTTTTGTGCTTCCAAGTTCTTTCTGCAAATTTCAGCTCGTTATGCTCCTTTCAGCTTATTTATGCAAGTTTCAGCCTTTTCTGTTGTTTCAGCTACTATTTTAGCTTTTTCGGCTAACTCCATATTTTTTGCACTCAATTTTTTTCAGCCTAGTTCAGTAAAAATGTGCTCTCTTCACTTCTGGTAATTTAAGCTTCTTTCTTTTTTCTTCTATCTCTTCTTCAACTCAACTCAGTTTATTTATAAAGCACCAAGTCACAACAGAAGTCATCTCAGGGCACTGAACACAAACATTCTTCTTCCTCTGTTATTTTTATATCTAGTGTGACTCCTTGTGCATGTTCCTTTGTACTGAAACTCTGGCACAACAATTTCCTGCAGGATCCATCTTTCTGCTTTTTTAGCTACTTTTCAGATTTTTTTTAAAATAATTTCAGCTTATTTTCCAGATAATTTCCATAGATTTGTGCTCAAACATGTTTTTTCTGCCTTCTTCTGCTAATTTAAGCTTGTTCTACTTTTTTCAGCTACCTTTTTAGCATTTATTTTTATCTATTTTTGGCTGCTTTCAGATAAATTTACAGTTTTCATTGTAATTTCTGCTACTTTCAGTCTGATTAAC